TATATAGTAAATGGTCATAGAATTAAACCCCACCCCTCTTCTATTTGCTTTGAAAAGTTTGCCTCACTATAAGTCCTACCCAGCTACTCTTGCACAGAGGTACAAATCCTCATACTCTGTGAACACACAAAGTTTTTTGCCATGTAAGAATAATTTCCATGTGGTAAAGAGCTGCACCACAGCTTATGACTGGGCAAAGATAGAGGTTTTATCAATATGGGGTTTTCTTTATTTTAGGATTTTACCTACCCAGCTCATCTCTCTTCTGGTAATTGACACGTTATACACATGGTGATTCCAAGAAAAATCATCCTCTTTGGAAGAATAAAACTCCATGATGTTCCACTTACACACCTCATGTTTTCACAGCTATTGAATTTGTAAGCTAAAAGTAGTGCCCTTAGAAAAAAAACTTGTTCTGCTAATTCCTGCTTAACCACATCAAGAACAACATGATTCAAGATGTGTTTCTCTGTTATTTACCTTAAGTCTTCCCAGCAAAACAAAATTAACTCTTCCTAGAAGCATGCTATAAGAATATTTAATGCAAGAAAGACAACAAGCGAGAGTGCTAGACTACTGATGCATCAGAAATGACAAAGGTAGACAATCTTCTGGGTACAGGCATATGTAGGTCAGCAGTTTGGCCATTCTACAGGTACCAACTGGGACGAGTCCAAAGAGTTACACCCAAAATATCAGGAAGGCTGGAAGAAAGGCCAAGAGGAAAAAAATCCTGATCATCTTTCTAAGCAGGAAATTGTCATCTGTTTCTTTTGAGCCAGATAATAAAGCATACAACAAAGATGCAGAGGTAACTACAGAAAAACTGAAGTAAAGTAAGGCCTTAACACCCACCAACTTCTCACAGGAGCTAGGCAGGCAACTGCTGTTGAGACCTTTTAACATCTCTGTAGCTGTTCCTACAGGAAGAGCTGAAGTTTAAAATCATTGAAATAGAGTAAGGTTCAAAGCAAGCTATACCAAAACCTCAATACAGATCCATTTTAAACATCCTATCTACACATGATCAATAAATACAATCCATAACCTGCATTCTCTAGAGAGGCAGGCAGAGACCAGATACATCAAATACATCTGAAACTGTACTAAACATCTGTGCGTGGGCACCTTAAATCATGCACATCTGATGTTTCTGTTTTCAATAATGTATCAAATACATATCTCAATTTTAGCAAAAGCACAGCTTTAGTGTCAGCTGATTTCTGCAGCAGTGGGAGCTAATGTGTTATTTGTTCAGCATGGAACGTGCAAAACTCCCATTATAAACTACTCTCACTTGTTTCCAAGCAAGCTCTAGATAACAGAAAATGATATCTAAGAAATACCCTCCTCATTTTCAGATGTTTGAATAAAAAATTATTTCCTACGTTCCATCTAGTTCCATTGCATTAGTTAGCATTGCAGCTTGCACCATTCATCATCTTCATCTGGGAGACAGAAATCAATTATTTTCACAGCAGGAAGCCTCAACTTTGCATTTGGAGGTACAGTTTGCTCTACACATTAACATAGTCTAGTGCAATATTTATTTTCCCAAGAGGATTTTAAAAGGACTTCCTTCCAGGGACTGAGTGAAGTAAAGTCTACTTATATTTTTGTATTTCAAAGAGAAAAACATTAACTGCAAAGAGCCCAAGATGCTGATCACCACAAGACCCTTCAACCTGATACTTGAAATCATACTGTACAAGTCTGTGTCTGTGCTTCCTATCATGGATATTGGGAGCTTATACTACTGCCTGATGTCTTTCACATCAGTTTCCATATTTCCATATTTGTGTATAACCCACATTCCATGTAAATTTTAACATGTAGTCTTCATTGTTTTTACAGCCAAACCCATTCACATGAGTTCCTAATAATAAAAAGGAATTTGAATTAAAACCTAATTCTTTTACAAAAGGAAGCAGACAAAAAAATCATACAGTTTAAAGTAGATTTACAGTTCCAATGAAGTCCCCAAGAGTCCCTTACATGACATTAAGTAACTCTAATTATATACATTTGGATCTTCTAGTTAGGTTGACCTGAGACAATGGGAGAAAAATGGCAGTGATGCTACCTGGTCCCTAAGTAGTTTGAAAAATTAAAAACATAAGTTAGAGCATCCTTAATATTGCTCCATGAATATGCCATCATCTATCTAACCCAGAGTATCAAAGGCCTGATCAACTAGCTGTAGGGAGAGCTAATTGTTCTGGAAGTGACTGCCATAAAGGCTCACAAGGGAAAGGGTAAAGGTTTTCACAGCCAGAATGAAGCAAAGTTGCCAGGATCCAGTACTTACCCATTTTTTTTGAGCACATACTTTTAAAGCACAATCACTAAAAGCATTAAAAAAATATGGTCAAAGAACTCTTCATTTATTTTGCAGCATCTCAAAGTATGTATGCATATCCTGCTGTTTTTTGCAGAGCTTTGTTGCAATGTGTTTATCTTGAATGCTTCAGATGGCAAAAGTTACTGTTTCTACCCAACTCCATCAGTCAATACCCAAACAGGTCTCAGGGCTATTGGTGAACAAATTAACACCTATTAGAACTCTTTAAATCTCATCTATTTCCCACTTCTTTTATTTTAAAATGCCTTCATCTTAAATTTAATTTTGGTTACTTCTATGAGTTTCACTTAGACTAGAAACAAAGAATGTCAGGCTCACCACCATTCAGCAGTTTTTTCTTCCACACAGCATATAACTATGCTGCTATATACTTTACACACCAAGTATCACTCACATTTGTGTGGCATTTTTATGCTACATTAAGAGACAGAGGACTGAAAGTGTTGAACTAGCAAGAGTTACACAAATAAGAGTTACAGGATAAGTGACAATTTGTTTGCTGAACTGCCCCCAAAGAAAAAAAAAAGGAAAAAAATCAATTTATTAAAGGTTTTTGCTTATAATTACTTTGAAAGTATAAGGCAAACTTCCTTCACAATCATAGTGCCAGCAGATCAAAACAAAACTGTATTTTAAGAGTCTTTGCCTCTGAAAAACAAACCACTAAATTCAAACTTTATTCTTGTAAATGAGGAGCTTGTACAAAGCAGTGCTTCAAGAATTGTTCTCTTCAGTACCTGCTGGCCCAAGTACAGAGCACACAATTTGGGTTCCTTATCTGCAGGCATCCCAGGAGAACCTTACCTGGGTTAGTGTACAGATGACTCTCTACAGTTTTTCCAATGCTCTGCAGTTTAACAGCTTGAAGGGACTCATCCCCATGCATGACTGTTGGCAAGCTGCCCAGAGCATCATGAACCAAATTGGCCACCTCTCTTACATCAAAGAGCTTCAAAAGTTCAGAATACACCGATGGGAATGAGCTGAGAAACACAGCCTAGAGGAAAAGGGCAGAAATGGACAGTCAGATATTGCAGAACAGTTTTGACATTTACAGAATTTAGGTAACTATAGAAATTTAAGTAGCTGTAGAAAAATGCCTAGGTTTGTATTTCAAGGGTAGGCAGTGTTTTTAAAATTGTCATATTTTCAGAAGAAATATCCTCACATGCATTAACAGACTTACACTTGTGACTATTTCCTTTAAGCCTTATCTCATGACTTAATTTTTCCCAGGCCAAAGTGAAATTATAAAGTGCAACTTAAAACAAAACTATTGATACTTTAAACACACTTATCTATGTGTGAGAGAAAATTTTTAGAAGGGTAACAGAATCTACCTGATATCAGAGCAAAGAGATTTGTGTGGACTTGTTTTGGCTTGCTTTGTTTTAAGATATGTAATATAACAGCCTCCATATCTTCCATTTTTAAAGTAATGAACATTTTTATTTTGGAATGAGATTTCATTTCAGCAATCCTAAAATAGGGTTAGAAATTCACTGATGGATACGAAAACAAAACACTGTAAAAGCAAGGAGGACAATGCCAGAGAAAGGAAACTGGAATTAACATTCCCTTTTTCCTCTCCAAATCCTGCTGATTGAAAAAAGCTACTTATACCTCAGACATTCAACACACTGGTGTCAGAACAGATGACATAGGTTAAAGACACTGCAAAAGAATTCTAAATTAGGTTGTTGTTATCATTTTGCTACTGTCTTTTCATTTCAGCTGCTTACATGATATGAGATAGGACTACCTCTCTCTTCTGATTTGCCATTTTCTTGGCTGAACAGTTTTCTATAGAGCTTTAAAAATTAATAAATCTTAACAGGATCTTAAACACCTTTGGTTATAGAAGCATGGGAAGGGGATGGTATATTTATGAGCTGTAGGAGTTGGTAAATCTATGGCACTTAATGTAGAGAGCTGTCTCCTGTGTGTTTTGCCTCCACACTTCAGCACTAACCAATTTTAGCAGTCTCAATTGAAATGAAGGTACCAGCTGAGTATTAAAGCATATAGTTCATCAAGGCTTAAAAGGTTTCTGTAAATCATGGCTCAAATTCTTCAGTGTCAATGTGGCTGAACTAAGCTGTAAAATGCCGAAAACAGAGAAATTACTTTTTCCATATCCAACAATATAATTATAACATAACTATAATTCAAAATTAAATATTAGATTTAGGATTTTTTATTCCAACCATATCTAGAAGCTGCTGGTATGAAAATTCCACATTGTAGGACAAAAAGCTGAAAATGCCACTTTGCTCTAGCAGAACTACATTTTCTTTCCTGGATAGGGAGAAATTTTTCTTATAATGTAGGTGGAAAATGCCAGTAAGCAAAGCACACTTTAAAACTTACTTGTAGTTGGGATAGAGCACTAGCTCCTTTGCTCTCTTGAGAAAGGAAGAAGCGTACTGACATAAGAAGCTCTTGAATACAGCAGCGAAATTCCTCCTCATTTTGTCCACCAGTGGCAATAGAGAATAACCTTCGAGACTGAACTATGTATTTAAAGATATATTCCTGTGCCTATAAAAATGTCAAAATTAGAGATAACTCAAAAATGAACATGTCTATCTTTAAAAAGAACACAACGATTTTATCATTTAAATAAAGACAATGGTCTAAAACTGCATCACATTACATAATTCCAGCAAATCTTTCTACTGAAACAGTAACAACATACTCAGAACTGCTCTTTCATTGCATTTCACAATCTCTCCGAATCAGGGAACACTAGTCATTATTTTTTAACCAGGTAATACAAAAAAAGCTCCACCAAATGAATCAAACAAAAAACAACCACCCCAAAAAAAGTTTAAGTTGCAAAACTGTTGGAGTGTACATTAAAAATCTAGCCCTTTCCTATTAGCAAGACACCAAAGTTCACAGCAGCATAGAAAAGCACAGAAGGATACCATGTTGATATTTTATTTCCAGACTGTAGCACCTGTCCCAAATGGGATTACTGTGCTGTACAATTCAGCCTGATGGCACACTGTGCTCTGCTGATGGTACAAACTGGGGCAGCAAGAGTAACAAAACCCACCATTTTCAGTAAATTCCTTGGTGTCAGCATTGAACCATGAGATCAGCATGCATGCCTGCCATTTAGATTCAGTTATGCAACAGATGTTAATACCACCAATGCAATCTATATTTGACTCCTTTGCCTCATTCAGTAAGCAACATAGAGCTCCAGAGTCTAGTGATAGTAAGGCTTCATTGATCAACTTAGTGACAACAGAGAGCAATGAATAAACTGACTGCACTGAAAAAAAGTCTGCAACTCCCTTGAATTAGTACTGCTATTTCATCATTTATATATACTCTGCTTCATTCCCTAAGTTAAACCTGTTGGTACTGAATGAATCCATCATTCAAACATATAATTGCCTTCAACAATTTTTATTACCTTTAGTACTTCCTGTATGTGCTCATGAAGCTCCACCTCAGTGACTCGATCAATATGCCACTTCAGGACTTTTATAAGATCCCTAGAATAGCACATCAGAAAATATTCTAATACAGAAGTGGGAGGAGGGTTAACTTTGCACATAAAATGTAAACCAATAGCTGTCATATGAGAAACACTGACAAAAAAAAAATAGACTAGATTTTACTGTTAACTGCAAGCTCAATATTACACATAGTTTTCAGTCTGCTGAAGACCACCTAGTAGATCTCTGATAAACGGGCACTAATACCAGCCTTACGTATGCTGTAGAATGATTTTAACAGGGATACACCATTTCTATAACCTAATGATTGATTCTGCTCAGTTTAGCAATAATTCTCAGTATTCAAATCAGATAGGATAAGTACAGACTTCACCTGTATGCAAGAGCTCCTGCAAAATGACTTTCAATGTAAGTGTCCATTACTGGCTTAAAGTGATGAAACTTGCTGTCCTGCAGCAAATTTATTATGTGAACCTAAATGTGAGAGAAAGCAAAAAATAAAAAGCAAAAGCTTTTTTGTTTTACTTAGTTCTTATCCAGTGTTAAGCATCGTCACAAAATAAAACTTACCAAGCAATCAAATACTTTTGATCCATATTTTTGAGAGTTTTCATCTAAAATCCCAAATAAAGTGTCTAGTGTATCTTGAAGAAACTGATGTGAGAGAATAAGAGACAGTTTATTATTAAATAGGTATTTCTGTGACATGAGGGACATTATTTTCCCCCTTCATATTATCTGAAAGGATAGAAATGTATATACCTTCACTATTTCTGAACCATCAATTTCTTTTAATTTTGAGAGACAACCTGCAATTTTGTCTGGGTGGGTTCTCCATTTCAGAAGGTCAAGCATATCTCCTGCAAAAACAAAATGCAAGATTAAAGTAGGAAGGAAAGCAGCATTTCAGATTTAATATTTTACTGTTATGGTCCACTCATCAAAACTTGGCATCATTAAAACAAAAGAAAACATCTCCAGATTTGTTACAATATGATCTTCACAACAAATTATTTTTATTCTATTCCATAATTGCTCCACCAATACAAACATAAGAACATGGTACTGGATCAATACAATTAGTCTCCTGTGGCAACTCTGTCATGCAATCTCATTCAGATATTTGTCAACTACCATTTTAAGGAAAGAAATTACTTTGCTCTTTCTCATCCCATTATTGAGGGTGCCTTCCAAAGTTATCCTCTGAGAAATAATCTCATAATTACCAGATTGAATATAATTAAAATACTCATCTTCCAATGTCTTTTTAGAGAAGAAACACATTGCCTCTACTGAAAATAAACTATTCTGAGTTTAAAGATACCTGAGTGTCTTCACACTTCCTCCACTTTTAATTCATTATCCTTCAGCTTGCCTGACTAAAATGATAACTACATTACAGATGAGATTACATCCATGTTTTCTGTATCATTAACAAGTTCATAAGCCTGCTGTAAACACCTGACATCTACATTCTGGAATTTCAGGGTCTTTTAGATACAACATATTGGTGAAACAAATATGTTTTTCTCTGGTTTAATAGTGTTCAGCTCCCTGGCTATAGCAGAATCCCCAAGAGTCTCCATTAGAGTATGGATGCTGCCTCTTCTACCATTTGATTCAATCAAATTTCTACACTTCCTTATTAATTACCTAAAGCAAAGTTGCCTTGCTTTGCTGTATCATATTTTGATTTTGTCCTTCTGAACTGAGACCCCTCAATGACATATTAGCAGAAAACTGTCTCAGACTTTAGTGAAGTAACTCATCCCCATCTCCTTTCACACCTTTAAAACAGAGACAATCCCAGAGCTAATTCTTCAGATGTAGTAGTATGTTCCTTCTGCTCAGGAAGGAATTCCTTCCACTACAGTGCAACCTGCAAGTTCCCTTTTAACTTCTATTTGCTAGTTTTAAAACTCTTATTCTAATCTGTATTTTTCTTACTTCCCTTGTGATGTGTTATTGAAGTTCAGATGGTTTAGAATTGCTATGTTTCCTCTGCATAATAACTAAAAAACATTGAAAAGAAAGATTTACACATTTATGCTGACATGATATGTCTTTGATAAACTCATCTTACAGCACATTCCGGTTAGCTACATGTCAATTTTTTCATCCATGATTTCCTGTAAATACTTGCATAAAATTCATCAGGGGATAATGGCCTAGTTAACATATCTGCCCTGTCTTAAATATAAGTTCTATATTTTACAGTCTTCAGACCTATGTTACTGCTTTCAGCTTCAGAGATGTACTAAAAAACCCACCTTGCTATAAGATTCCAAATTTCATGTTCTGGTGCCATTCAATATACTAAAATAGAGTTTTGCCAACGTGGCTTGGCTTTTCAGCAGTTTTCCCTGGCTGAAATTGGACACATCTGCAACACTCCTTTCAAGTTATAGTCAGTAAAAGTTACACATACTTAATTCCATCGTTCAAAAATAAATTCCAAAGCCCCTTTAGATTCAAGTTTACTATTTCCACACTTCACTAACCAGCTTTTCACAAATTCTCAAAGCCTGGTCACTTGAGGCAGAACACCTTAATCACCATCCAACCCTTCCATCAGTTTAAGCTAAACTACAGTCTAGTTGATCACTGCCCAGCATTGTTAGAAGGATCCAGTGCTTCCAAAGTGTTCTCAGTACTTAACAAAAGTTAATAGCAAGTTTTCCTCTTGGTTCAGCATCTCTTTGGGTGCTTTCTACCACAGACTGTTTTCACGCTCAAGTAATGTTTGAACCACACCCATCTTTGTGTCATCTCTTTCCCAGTTTGCTCCAAGAAACTCCCATCTTCCACAAGAAACTAATATTTTTGTCTTTAATAACATTAAATATATCTCTGCCTATATTCAAATCTTGCCAGAAGTGTTAATGGCAAACAATCTACATAAGATCCACAAATATTTTGCTGCTTTCATTGTTTTTGTTGGGCACAAATTGTTTTGATGCAATTATACTTTTTTGTTTGTTTGTTTTGCTTCATGCTGTGCTAGTATGGAAAAAAAGAGCACCTTGAGTTGCACTAAGAGTGATGAAGGGTCCCACACATGCATCAGAGACACATACCAGAGATCAAGGACAAATGCTGGGCCTTATAATTCTGTCAGGAATTTTCAAGAAACAAGATTTACAAATCCAGTGACCTGCATTTGCCTTTTGGATAATTAAATGTACTTCTACACTTTATTCTATTTAAGCCTCAGCTCAAGTTGAGGAGTAGCAAGACAAGCTAAAGCTGTCAGTTCATAGCAGGAAAAACACTTCTTTACAGGTTTGCTGGAATAACTTGGTGAAAGATAGTTGACACTCAATATTAGGGATTTGTTGGGGGATTTAAAAAGAAAGCAAATGTAAGACACTCACTTCAAAGCACTTATTTCAAGGGAAGTACTAAGTAGGAAAGACATTGCTGCAATAACATTAGCAAATAGCCCAAGCATAAATGACACGAATAGAAAATCTGACATGTGAATCACAAGGGGAAGGGATAGCAATGTGTCATGTATTAAGAGAAATGAGAATACAAAATTGTCCCCAGAAATAGGCCCATTAGGAAAATATAGCTTTGGAAAAGGGAAAAAGTCACTGCTGCTGATAAATTTTGCTGAAGAAGAAAAATATTTCCAATGCATTCTCTTAATAATAATCAAGGTTTGTATATTTAAAATAGGCTACGCCTGACCTACCACCCCTACCAAACAAAACATATCCTTTCTCAAAGTCTGTAATTTAAATCCAAAGTGCTAGGTTTAATAAAAGGTTTGAAATCATGTGTTTAAGGAAGTGGTTTGGGATGAATTTCCATCTGTCCCAAATAAACCCTGAGACATCAGAAACTGGTTTGTCGTAGAGCACTACTGCACTTCAAAAGGAAAAATAGGAATTCCAGAACTGGCAGTCAGCATGCCTCTTCCAACAGGCTGTTTCTGTGGTTGCCAACACTCCCTCCAAACTGAGGTCACTCGGGAAAGCTGCCCAGTGTTACTTTTGTTTTATTGATCACTGGTTTGGCTTTTTAAAAATGCAGCTAGATGGAATACACCTCTGCCTTGAAACTGCCATGCTGTATGGCATGTTGCTCTC